CAAAGAGAGAAACAAGTGATAATCGGAGAGTGCTAGGTCTGGGGAGTATGGTGCATGTGACAGAATTTCCCAGCCTAGCTCTGCGATTTTCTGACGAGTCGCCAAAGCAGCATGTGGTCTGGCATCATCATCGGTAGCCATGTTTTCACGATCGCGTCTCACTTAATAATGACATGAGACATCTTTGTTTCAGTTTATTTAGGAGAGTACATGTGTGTAAATGCAATGATAAAGAGAGATAGTCATACATGTCTCAAATCAACATGTGCATATGGATTGAAACTTGAAGTGACACTATCGGACAGAACTTTCCGGTAGACCTAATAGATATATATACTACTATACTATATATACTACTATATATACTACTATACTATATATACTACCTATATATATATATATTTAAATTCATGGCGCAGAAGTCAAAGTTATACTAGCGTTCGAATACTTTCGTGTACCAGAGTGTACATTAGCATCGTTGGAGGGCAAGCTATGCAATTAATGCGACGCATTGCCGAACGCATGACATCGCGCGAAGATCGCTAACGTAACGATTACGTATCCGCGTCCGAATTAGAATCAATAATAAAAGCCGCGGTTCGTTCCAACGCGTGTCATCCTCTACTACGAATCGGCGTGGCTCGCGAAACTGGACGGGCCGGGTCGCTCGAAGGATAACCCCGGTTCCAGAATATCATCGCGGTCGTCCGTTAGGAAATGGAGCGGCAATTAACGCGAGAAACTAGCCAGTCGAGGGTCATCGGTGTGTGAGAACCGGAACACGAAGCCCGTGGACGTGACCGCGAGGACAGCGGCGACGAATTGCCCGCGGAACCTGCACGACGATCTCGATTAAATCGTAATTCCGCCGCAGTTCGTCGCAATAACACGGTCTTTTTTCTTCCGCCGCCTGCTGATCGCGTCGATCATAAATCATCGACGGATGAAACTTTTTGCCCCGTTCCCGATCGACGTCCGCGTTCTCTCTCTCTCTCTCTCTCTCTCTCTCTCTCTTATTCTTTCTGGTCGCGATCGATCGGCCGGTACGGGATCGGTACGATGTCCTTTGCCGCAGTGACGGAACACGTTATTTTCGAAGCGCTTTTACGATCCTCTCCGCGCTTTTTCACGGCTCCGGCTCGCGGAATATTCAGACGGCGTCAGAGCATGCTCGCGCGGTTTTCTTGCAACGATGATCTTTGACACACCCCTGCACATTATACTTTCAACTTGGTGAATCTAGAATTCATAGCTCGTCTTTTCACCGTTTTTCTCGGCCCTGTTTTTCGTGCGCGCGATCTTCGATCCGAAGGCGATCGGACCGCGCGCACGATCCCCGGCCACCTGTCCTCGACGGAGGATGCGGTTTCACCACGCTCGGGAAACGTTACCGGTCCATAAATAAAGGCTCACTCATCTCAGCCAAACTTGGCCTGGAGGTTGATCGTATACGCTCCGAACGAGAGAGACTAGGCCGCTCCGAGCTAAGTGGCTTCTTGGCCTCGGCGAGGACGCGACTTTGACCCAGATATCGGTAAAACGACGACAGACTGCCTGACGGATCAGAATTCGCGCACCTGTGCGCACTCGGGATGTTTCGGGTATCTAATTTTTTTTGCAGATCCATCGGTCGCGCGATCTTCGATTTACGGATTTCTACGGCCGAATCGCGCTTGCCTCGGCCTCCCGGATTAATTACATGAATTTTCGTGAATTCTTTTCCGTTTTTCGTTTATATCAATCTGGAACGTTTGTAGTTTCCAAATGAAATTAGAGCAGTGATGAAGTTTTTGTTGAAACGATAACAGGCGAGATAAGAAGATTGAACAGATAAAGAATGTTCTGAGGATGCAGAAATGTTCAGCAGATACTTGTACAATAATTATAGAACTCGATATACTCCGTGAAATTGGAATGAAGAGAGATGCAATCATAAGGGCGGCATAAAGGGAACAGTAGTATGAAAAGTGCTATGAAATCTGCTGAATTATATAAACATATTCCGAAAATGTTAAAGGTAGTCTTTTTTGCATCAGCACCATGCTAAAAAGCTTGATTCATTGATAATGATAAGGAAAAAGCTATAATCATCTGCTCCTGAAAACTTGAAAATAGCGCCATTTGAGACCAGTGGCGCCGCTTGTGGCGATGTTTCGAACTAGAGTAAGGGGTCTGTACAGCGTCAAATCACGTAGTGAGAGAACGTTCAAACTGTTCACCAAAATTATCCACAGAAGATAATTTCGAGAGTTCCATATTCCGACACAGATGACGCAACTCGGCTAAACCTACAGGTCGGTAATTCAGAACGTGAGACACGAAACCATAGACTACCTCTGTGCACGAAGCCCTATAAAGTGCTTCGACTATGCTGATACTGTGTCTATGATTGTACGCACGTATTCGGCTGCTGGAGTCTGTCAGTGACAGATTTTGTTCTAATATTTCTGGTGTAAATATAGAACTGATAATGTTAAAATATTAATAAGCGTAGCACTTAAGGGTAGTTTCATAACAAGAATCTAAAGACTGCTTACATAGTTTCACAGAAGTAAGAAAGTATATATTAGCCTTAAAAATGGTAGTCAGACAGTATAACGAAGAACTGAAGTACTTAGAAAAGATAGATGAGAATAGTTGGAGGATCAAGAAAGGTTTTCAACCTAATATGAATGTATGTATCTTATTTTGTATTTTGGTAAATAATTTCTGTAAGCGATCCTAAGTATTCCTCTTGGTGTCTAATAGGTCGAAGGTGTATTTTATGTAAATAAAACACTAGAACGTTTGATGTTTGATGAATTAAAAAATTCCTGCAGACCTGGCATGGTAGGAGGTTTTCTACCAGGAATGAAACAAATTGCTAATGTAGCTGCGCTTCCTGGAATTGTCTGGAGATCCATTGGATTGCCAGATGTTCATGCTGGATATGGTTTCGCTATTGGCAATATGGCAGCATTCGACATGAACGATCCAAAGTCAGTAGTATCGCCCGGTGGAGTGGGATTTGATATTAACTGTGGTGTACGCTTATTAAGGACCAATCTGTTCGAGGAGGATGTTTTACCTGTGAAGGTACTCCTTTATATTTGCTTATTTATTTTATTAGATCACATTGTAGGATTAAATATAATTGAATGAAATTAATAGGAGCAACTTGCACAAAGTATGTTTGATCACATTCCTGTTGGTGTTGGTTCTAAAGGAATCATACCAATGAATGCCCGAGACTTAGAGGAAGCTTTGGAAATGGGCATGGACTGGTCTCTCAGAGAAGGTATTTGTTTAATTCGTTATAGCCTTTATCACCTTTTATTAACACAATTCGTTTCTTATATCTACAAAGGCTACATCTGGGCAGAAGATAAAGAACATTGCGAAGAATATGGTAGAATGCTGAATGCGGACTCTTCGAAGGTATCCATGAGGGCTAAAAAACGAGGACTTCCACAGGTGAGACTTCTAGGATGATCGAATGTGAGTCAAAATTGCATCTACGTTGCCTTTTAGTTAGGAACCTTAGGAGCTGGAAATCATTATGCTGAGATTCAAGTGGTAGATGAAATTTATGACAAATGGGCAGCATGTAAAATGGGGATAGAAGAGAAGGGTCAAATCTGTGTTATGATCCACTCTGGTAGCCGAGGATTTGGTCATCAAGTTGCTACTGGTAATAGACTTACAGAACTAGCAGCATTTATAACAGCGTAAATGTTTAATATCTTTTCCTTGCTTGATAGATGCACTCGTTCAAATGGAGAAAGCTATGAAGAGAGATAATATTGAAACCAATGATAGGCAGTTAGCTTGTGCTCACATTAAATCTCAAGAAGGTCAAGATTACTTAAAATCCATGGCGGCGGCCGCCAACTTTGCTTGGGTTAACAGAAGCTCCATGACATTCCTCAGCCGTCAAGCCTTTGCAAAACAGTTTAGGATGTCTCCAGATGACTTAGATATGCATGTTATATACGACGTCTCCCATAATATTGCAAAAGTGGAGGAACACATGGTCGACGGTAAACAGAAGACTCTTTTAGTCCACAGGAAGGTAAATCAAAAATTGTAATTTAAATAACTATATCATGCTCTGACGAGAAACATGTTTTATCGACCATCTTCATATATTTTCAGGGATCCACGAGAGCATTCCCACCACATCATCCCTTAATTCCAGTAGACTATCAACTCACAGGTCAGCCGGTTTTGATCGGTGGTACCATGGGAACATGCAGTTATGTTCTAACTGGTACCGAGCAGGGTATGAAGGAGACATTTGGCTCGACTTGTCACGGAGCAGTAAGTGTCAATATTTTATCTAAAAATAGATATAGCAAGTATTGTTCAAAATTTGCTTTCAGGGAAGAGCTCTGTCCAGAGCAAAATCGCGAAGAAATATAGATTACATGCAAGTTTTACAAAAGTTAGAGCAACAGGGAATATCCATAAGAGTCGCATCACCGAAACTAGTAATGGAAGAAGCGCCAGAATCCTACAAAAATGTAACAGACGTTGTGAACACATGTCACGCAGCGGGCATATCTCGGAAATGCATAAAGTTACGACCAATTGCAGTTATAAAAGGATAACGTTGTTTATATATCTAAGGCATGCGGTTTGTATTGTTAATTGTGATTTTCAATTATTGCTTGGAGTTCCAGCAGAGCCATAATCATTGTCATGAATGAACAAGATCTGTAACATTATGATTTAAAATATTTAAACAGTTAATACTTATTACTTTTCGTAACTTATGGAAATATAATAAATAATTTATAAGAAATAACCCGCTAAAATTCGAGGTGTTTGGATTATTTTGTTTTAGTCTAATTATGACATAATTAATGCTTTTCGGGGATCTTGCATTCTACGCACGTGTACGATAGCGATGCTCCTTGCGGCGAAAAGCTGAATTAGTAATTAGTAAGCGGCGAGACGCTGAAACTGTTAGCCAAATTACCGACAAATTCTAATTATTCCAGAAACCAGTAGCGGCGCCATCTATCATTTTTTAAGGAACTGTAATTTGGCGAACAGTTTGAGCATTTTGCCACCAGTCTAATTGGCGGTGATCGGAGGCCGAAAAAAGCTTCCTAATCTGGCCGCAAGCGGCGCCACTGTCCTCGTTTTGGCGGACGATTTAAAAATAAAATAAAAGGATTCTTAAACAAGACGTTCACTGGAGTTTCTTCCAAAGAACAATTACAGTTCTATCTGATTTGTTATTCACAAAGGAGAACAGGATGAATAAGTTGCCGGCGATAAATGTCCGTTCTTCTTTATTAACAAGCTGAGTTAACATACCATCTGAAAGTTTGACACTTCGTTACGACATTTCGATTGTTTTATTTATACTCCACCGTCGCCGCGTTAAACCGTAACGGACGACGGTTAATCCATCAAGTTTCGTCCACGGATACTTATACGAGGATATGATACATAAATGTCTAGAGTCTCACGATTCCCATGTACAAATAGTTTGCTCGTCCGCGGCCGGGGTTGCCCGACGAGCACCTATACATCACGCACGATCTCATTCTCACTGGCGTTCTCCATCCGCAAGGAAAAGAAGGAGAAGAAACGAAGAAATTCCCCTAATCTCTCTCGGCCGATCTTTTTTCTACCTACGGTCACGAGTCCCGGCCATGGCCAAAACACCGATCAGAAGTCACGGTCGTCTCGTTCGCGCCCTTAAGCTAATTAATAATTACTCGATCGTCCTGGAAGCTGCCGAGTCCATCACATTCTGTACAAATCGGCGAACTCGCGCGGGTTCGTCAGAGGGCATACTCTGCTTCGTGTTCGCGGTTTCTTTCCGATTGTTTTACACTCCGCGGAATCTTCGTCCCTCGGCGCCGGTTGATTCGCGGGTTACAATATACATTCGCGTCCGCAATAGCGTAGACACTGTGTCAAAAAGTTAAATCGTTTACAAATCCGAGTACCGCTGGAAGAACTTTCGGCATGCTCGTCCGCGCGTTCGCGGAGAGGAACTTCGTTAATCGAAGACGCGATCTCGAGACTTTCAAATGAAGCTGGCAGTTGTCATGGTTAATATCAAATTAAGCTGTACGTAGTCGAGGAAAGTGGCCGAGTATGGAACCGCGACATTTTATGACCACGGTATCTTTAACGGACGAGAAAATTATGTGTGAATCTCGAGTTACGAAACGGCTGTTAAATCGAGCGCAATTGTATACGATTGCGTGTGCCCGATGCTTAGGATGAACATAGTATTCGAATCAAATGCTTCTTGAAAAGGTGACATATAGGAACGGATCCGTTACAAGTACCGCAAACCCCCCAAAAATGTAAGAAAGCCAGTCCGAAAGCAAAGTACACTCCATATTCGGCTAGCTTCCTCGAGGCTCGGAACAGTCAATAAATATCGTGCTCCGCGACACGCGTTTAGGGTCTTGTAGAAGACGCTAACGTCGACACGCGGCGTTTAAACTCTAAATATACGTGATCCAGTCTGTTCGAGACGTTCAAGATGGTGGCTCGCGGAAAGTGAACGTCGATTAAGTCTTTTCGTTCTCTCTTCCCGGGAAAATATAGTTTAATAAGTATGCCCTCGTCTCTTTGAATATATCGAAACCGGTGCTCCGTTTCGATGGTCGCGATCGGGAGGCGAAACGGCCTCGAACGAAGAACTGTTTGGCAGAAACGAACGTAAGCGTAGTTTAATCGGCCCCGGTCTCGAGAACGAGGACCAGAGTTTCACACGAATGTCCCGCGTCAGTCTGTGCAACGAAGATCGTATCTTGGATCGGATCTCGATCGGATCGGCGCCGTTTCGGCCGCACCGGGGGCGACGCCTCACCTTTTGCTTCTCCGCGTTTCAAGAAAACGAATTCCGCAACCGGTTCCCGATCGTGAATTTAGAAAAGCTCCGAATGCAAAGACTGCGAAAGGTCGCACGGCTCCTATTATTTATAGTGGCTATGTTACAAAACGGCCCTCGAAGTTTAGGTACCATTTACGGCCGAACACTGTACAACACGGGCCTGGACTGCCAACTTTGAAACGGGCGTTTCGCTCTTGTGCGCTGAGAAACGAGCAACGTTTGTCTTCTCCTGTTCGGAGGAAATCACTGTTACGTGGAATCGTTCTGCGGAGTCTTCCGAAGAGGACGACACAGTTTAATATCGTCTTATAGATACGTGGATACGTTTAAAAAAAATGATCGTCGCGGTGAGGACGCACGAAGCACCGATTTAAAGTCGGAAGTCCGTGGAGAAGAGAAAATTAGTTGTACAGCGCGATTGTTGACTAGACTGCGAATTTTATGCATTTGTAACAACAATGAGTAGTTGTTGTTTAATATTGTGGAGAAATTAAAAGAATTTAGGAGTGCCACTATTCATGCCACTGTGTTATTTAGGCTCTACTAAAATTATGTAAAGAAAGAAGTAACTTTCTATCTAGTTTCTGTTTCTCGAATTTGACGATTTTGATGTCGCATAAAAATCCACAGTCTATCGGTTACCGAGGCGGTTCGTTTATACCGATAATTTATCCACCCTCTAAATATATTGCTTACATGTATATACACCTTAGAAGCTAGTATCTCCGTTCCGATCACACGCCTCGATCCGGGTCGCAACCGCGCCCGGATCGACGGACTCAATAAATATTTGATAATCTACGAAACGAGAGCGATCAACGGAATCACTTTGATCAACGGAAAGAGATCGGGGCCGCTCGTTCGCGGCCCGTTAATGCCGATAACTAGGAATATTGTATACAATTGGCCCTCAAGCTAAGGTCTCGTCGGCCATTTCGTCGGTGCTCGGCGGCTGAACTCGCGGCGAAAACGTTCGTCGATCGTTCGCGGAGGGAAATCAATGGAAACTCGATCGCTCGTCATACGCGATCGTTCGCAGCAGCTTGGCCGACGACACGCGGGATCTATGCTATACAATGAACGATTATAATCGAGTGTAATTCATTAGTCGCGTCGCTAAATTGACTTGTTTCCTAAGGTCAGGCCAGCGATCCGATTTCACCGTCGGGATAATTCCGGTCGATATCGTCGCGGGATTGTTCGTGTGTCGTACTTTCGATGCGTCGGCGAACGCAAAATGGTCGTACCTTTGGTCGTGGGCAACGCAAAACGGCGTCCAACGTAACGGCAGTATTTTTAGGTGCAGACTTATTTCTGTTCTCGAACGTGTTCCTACGATTAAAATGGCGTTCATTCAGGGATGCTCCCGAGATCCGTTCCCGGCGTGGTTACGCGATCAAGCCACCCGGCTTGCAAAAACCCGTTTTTACATCGACGCACTCGCGAGAATGGCCGTCGACAGCCACGGCCTCCTATTGACAATCCGCGAGTCGGTTATAGACAGTCTTTTCCATTTACATCCCCCGAATCATCCCGCTAGAATTCTTTAAGTCCCGATCATACGTGAATTGTGAACTCTTGCCGCTCTTGCTCCTTCCTTTGCTGGTACCTGAAACGAAGTACAAGAAGATCGTTTGTAGCTGCGCTCCCACGAACATCGATCACCGTGATCGTATGCACTTACTAGTAACTTCGAACTACTAGTCTTTCGTACCAGCAGGTTTTCGATCCGGTGTTCGCGCTAATTTACTAGCAAGTGCGATACTTTCCGACTAAGACTCTAGTTTGTCTTTGGGCTAAGCAGTAATTTAGGATACGGTAGGTGACTAAGTACGGAACATGGTGCTACTCGAAAAGACACATACATCCGGCGGTTTCGAAAAGCACATTCGCTCTGAACCGGTAAACCTCTTTTCAATGACAATTTCATGTACATTGGAAAATCAAGTATACTTGTACAATTGCACTAACGTGCAAATTCTCTTCGATCTTGCTCGCAAGACGAAAGTATAGTTCGTTCGTCGATGTGTCATCGGTGAGGGAGAAAATGAAACGTAAAAATGTAAGAGTGTGTACTATTTTCTACGAAAAGCGGAGCTGTGATCTTATTTGGGGAGGGGGGAGCGGGGGGTTACAAGAGTCTGAATGCATGTTGCAAGTGCGAAGCCGTGGTACGGGTAAAATCATGAACCAAAACGTTACGATGCATCACAAAATGAAGAACAGAGGGGATGGAAAATAAATATCTACTCGATATCGGTTTCACCCATGCGTCTCACTTTCCTCTATCTATTTTCCCTAAACAAAATTACGCACTCAAAAGCTAATTAAGGAAAGAATGTTTCGTGTTTCGTGAAAGTTAGATTTCGTCCGAGAACGATCATTTTCGCACTCTGCGTCGCGTGGGATCAAGTTCCCTCGATTGGATAGAAGAAGATTCATTTTTAGTCTAATTGCCGGAGGTTCCGTGGCACGGTTTTTCGATCGCGCCGTGATGCATGCGACTCCTTAAGTGTAAAAAAATGAATCTCAACGTGTCAGCTTACTACGATCTACGGAGGTTCGTGTCGATACCTAGCGAGCATAGATTCGACGGCCTCGATCGGCAGTCTACCCAAGCTGCCGCCGTGGCGGGTCCCGGCTGACAGACCTTGCCAGTCGCGATCACGATCACGATCACGATCACGATCGCGATCACGGTCACGGTCACGGTCACGATCTCGATTCCGATCACGGTCACATTCTACGTCGCTCAATTCGCGGCTGTCGCTAAACCCGCTTGGCGGCAACAACGTCATGTCCTCCACCGAACTACGCACAAATAGACCAGAGAGAAATGTCTTAGGAAAATAGATGGATTAATTGCGGCAGACAGATAGAGTGTGTAAGAGAGAGAAAGAGAAAGAGAGAGAGAGAGAAAGATAGTTATTTCGTCCCCGTGTCTCGAATCCGATCGAGCTTGCAAATTAACTTGAACCGATTTCGTTGAGGGTTCGCTCTGTACTCGATAGAATCTTGCTGGTGGAATCGATTCAAATTAATTTCTTTCGTGGAACCCAAATGGGAAACAAAAGGAACGGTAACTGTTCGTCGACGAACTCGTTCGATACACTACTGGCTCAGAAACGCATCAGAAACGCAGAAACAAGAAAACGATCGATGTGATCTTGTTCTTTTAGCACTCTTCGACGTTATAAACTTTGCTGTATTTGTATTTTGTATTTGTACTTTGTATTTGTATTTTGTATTTTGTATTCTGTATTCTGTATTCTGTATTCTGTATTCTGTATTCTGTATTCTGTATTCTGTATTCTGTATTCTGTATTCTGTATTCTGTATTCTGTATTCTGTATTCTGTATTCTGTATTCTGTATTCTGTATTCTGTATTCTGTATTCTGTATTCTGTATTCTGTATTCTGTATTCTGTATTCTGTATTCTGTATTCTGTATTCTGTATTCTGTATTCTGTATTCTGTATTCTGTATTCTGTATTCTGTATTCTGTATTCTGTATTCTGTATTCTGTATTCTGTATTCTGTATTCTGTATTCTGTATTCTGTATTCTGTATTCTGTATTCTGTATTCTGTATTCTGTATTCTGTATTCTGTATTCTGTATTCTGTATTCTGTATTCTGTATTCTGTATTCTGTATTCTGTATTCTGTATTCTGTATTCTGTATTCTGTATTCTGTATTCTGTATTCTGTATTCTGTATTCTGTATTCTGTATTCTGTATTCTGTATTCTTTATTTTGTATTTTGTATTTTGTATTTTGTATTTCGTATTTCGTATTTCGTATTTCGTATTTCGTATTTCGTATTTCGTATTTCGTATTTCGTATTTCGTATTTCGTATTTCGTATTTCGTATTTCGTATTTCGTATTTCGTATTTCGTATTTCGTATTTCGTATTTCGTATTTCGTATTTCGTATTTCGTATTTCGTATTTCGTATTTCGTATTTCGTATTTCGTATTTCGTATTTCGTATTTCGTATTTCGTATTTCGTATTTCGTATTTCGTATTTCGTATTTCGTATTTCGTATTTCGTATTTCGTATTTCGTATTTCGTATTTCGTATTTCGTATTTCGTATTTCGTATTTCGTATTTCGTATTTCGTATTTCGTATTTCGTATTTCGTATTTCGTATTTCGTATTTCGTATTTCGTATTTCGTATTTCGTATTTCGTATTTCGTATTTCGTATTTCGTATTTCGTATTTCGTATTTCGTATTTCGTATTTCGTATTTCGTATTTCGTATTTCGTATTTCGTATTTCGTATTTCGTATTTCGTATTTCGTATTTCGTATTTCGTATTTCGTATTTCGTATTTCGTATTTCGTATTTCGTATTTCGTATTTCGTATTTCGTATTTCGTATTTCGTATTTCGTATTTCGTATTTCGTATTTCGTATTTCGTATTTCGTATTTCGTATTTCGTATTTCGTATTTCGTATTTCGTATTTCGTATTTCGTATTTCGTATTTCGTATTTCGTATTTCGTATTTCGTATTTCGTATTTCGTATTTCGTATTTCGTATTTCGTATTTCGTATTTCGTATTTCGTATTTCGTATTTCGTATTTCGTATTTCGTATTTCGTATTTCGTATTTCGTATTTTGTATTTTGTATTTTGTATTTTGTATTTGTACTTGTACTTATACTTATACTTGTACTTGTACTTGTATTTGTATTTGTATTATTATAAACGTTATATGTAAACAGTTGAACGTTAACAATTTCTTACTTTTTCAGCCATCAAACATTAATAACACTGTTGCAAGGTAATGCAAAGGGACTAAAAATTTTCTATCGAAGAACGATATACTTTTACAAATACATTTCTCATCGTATATTTATTAGTCCTTTAACACGAATTATTCGTCTTCAAAGAAATCCGAACTGTACGAAGATATCTTCCGACAGAAAATGATTACTAAAACGATCATTCCGCTAATACTTTCTTGAGCCACTGGTGTTTTGGCGTCGATAACGGAAAAATGTAGTTCCTCCGGGTCGGGTGGAGCAACAGAAAAATAACAAGCACAATTAGGGAGACGAAGCTGCAAGAAACTCAGCGTGAGAGTTCCCGTCGAAATCGTTCACAAGATACGGAAGGTGTGCAAAATGGGGATTAGAGTTTCATACGAGGGCTCAGCGAAGAAATCGGCGTGGGTTCCTGCCAGGGTCTACGTTTTTCCATTATCTTGTTCATCGCACGCCGACACGAGACCGATCGGACCGTGATACGAAAATACTGAACATAATCAGGACTGAGTGCTATGTGGAAACAAACAAACCTTGGCTACCTGCGAGTGGACCGGCTCGGCTGTCGGCTTCGTCGTCTCGCAAGCGAGGGTGAACCTTCGTTGTTTGATTCTGTACTCGACTCCACTCCTCGTGAGAACACGTCTGCAAAATAGCCGAGCACGCCGGCGCGATTAACTGAATGTGAGCACGCTAACGAATTTTCATAGAAACGCAGCTGATTCGCGGAGAATTATTTTCGCCGGTGTCAGAAAATTAGCCAGATGAACGGAAACGTGGGATCAAATTAGTAGAACGGAGAGAAAGGAGAGATAAAATTGGCAAGATGACTAGAAAAATTAGATAACATCGAGATAAGATTCATCAAATAGAATGTCGACGCGCAGGACATTCTATTGGGTTGGCAACTAAGTAATTGCCGATTTGTTCAATGAAATAAAAAATTTTTTTACTTGGAACGAAGTTTAATCTGTAATGTATTTGCCATTTTGTTCGATGACCTTTTGCCATCTTTCTGACAACTTGAAAATTCCGCGCTCGTAGAAAGTCTGATCCTTTTCGGCAAAAAACTGAGTTCAGTGAGATTTTACAGCGTCATCGTCATTAAAAGTTTGACCACGAAGGGAGTTGTCCAGGGATCGAAATAAGTGGTAATCCGATGGCGCGAGATCAGGGCTATATGGTGGGAGTAACATCAATTCCCAACCAATATCCATCAATTTTTGCCGAGTGGACAAAGACGTGTGCGGCCTAGCATTGTCCTGGTGGAAAATGACACCTTTACGATTGACCAATTCTGGTCGCTTTTCCTTGACCGCTGCATTCAATTTGTCCAGTTGCTAACATTCACGGATAATAAAAAATAACATA